AGGGAAAGTGACATTCTCTCAGATTTTATTCTTATGTAATACTACTATACTACTAAATTACAAATCTATAAATTCCAAACATCTCATAAGATCGATTATCTATACAAATAACTACAAACTCGCATAATGAAAGACTCATCATTAAAAACGATCATTTTCTTTTATTTGGGAATGTGAATCTTGAAAATAGAAGAGTTTTCTCCAAAAAGAAAAGGTTTAAAGGCGAAGAGTATTGTCTCTTATCGAGCCCTGTGTTCCTTTTGTTTTTCGATTTTGAATGTCCTAATAATTTAAACAAATTTAACTAACATTACTAGTACCATTAAAAAAAAAAATTATTAGAAAACTATTTTAACCTTGTATCCGCTTCATGACCTAGCAACTAAAAACAGATTGTTTAATTTCTCTACTTTTGTTCGCCATTTATCTGCACTTCAAAGATCAAACGCATCTACCATTCTTCTACTTGATCCGGTATCATCTTTAGGAGCTTTGAATTGTATATTGTACCCATGAGCAATTAAAAAACAAACTATAAATATGGAAATAACTTTATAAACTAGAGAATAAAGAAAAAGTGGGTTTGGAGTATAGTGTTTGTTGGCTTCTTAATATCACTTGTACATTATATCATGAAAAATAAAAGTAAACTAAAACCACGTCTGCTTAAATAAATCTCTTTCTTACATAGGCAGAAAGAGGGAGTGTTTACTACAGAAGAGGCACGCACTGGTTTGGTTTTACTTTCACTCACTCATTGTTCATCTACACTCTTTTTATTTTTCTAAAGTAAAAAATAAAGCATAATCAATGAATCTTTGTTCTTCTTTTAAATTATCAATCCCTTTTTTCGCTTCAGCTTTGAAGCTGGAAAAGGACATAAAAGATTTGATGGGTTATGCTTATTTTGTTTCAAAGGCAGAAAGCCAATAACGGAGCTTATAGTTTCTTACATTGTCTTCTGCTCAATATAGGTGTTTTCTGTTCAGTCTATTATATATATCTTCAAAATGATAAACACCACAATACCTCATCAGATTCTTTAAATTTCAGACATAGCGTATATTATATAAATTCACATTTTGTGTGTTCCACATGGTTCCCATTCCACCTTCAGTACCCTTTACATATATGTATACACATGTGACATGACATGATTATATATTTCTCATCGATTTTATAGTTTAAATAGAAAAGAAAAATTTGAGTATAGCTAGATTTGGTTGATGTGGGTCCCGGGGAAGTGGAGTCATGGTTCCTCCAAAATGTCATACTCGTGCTCATGCACATGCAGACGAATGTTTCTAAACTGCTGTATCAGTTGTCTTGCTGGATGCGACAAATCTACTTCTATAATCTACTCGACTTACTTTTACACAAAATATAGCTAACCCTAACGTTAATTATACAAGAAGCTCAGAAACTCCACCAAATATGTTTAAATACAAACACTATACAAGTATACATGCAAGTATATATTCTATACTAGCTCACCGGTGAGATTAAGATTCTAAAAGGACTTGACCGAATGGACCGGGGACGGGGAATTGCTTGTGGTTATAGAAAGTCCCCACACTAGAAACCAAGGGTGGGATCAAAGTTAATACTTAATATAGAGGCTGCTGCAAAAAGGACCACTATTTTTCACGCCTAATTTTCTTAATTACTATCTACCGTGCTAATACTTTTTTTGCGAAGTTGCAAACCCTAATATAGGGCTAGCTTAAATATCTATAAACAATAAACATGTTATTTTGAACTTCTATTTTTACACATGCATAGGCCCGCCATATATCCACCATGTAAATAAATCGACGATATATAAGTAAATTCGAACATGACCTTTTTGTTTGGGTATGTATTTTTGGACACGAGCGGGAGGAACAAATGCCAGGGTCCAAAAATTTTGAGAATTTTTTTTAGCCTAATTTAAAAAAAAAACAGAAAATTAGAAGGCCACTTTTTTAAAAAAAAATTAAAAAAAAAACATTATGAATAAAAGCCAAATTTTTCAAAACTTATGGATATATGGGGCAATTTTTCAAAAAGATTTGCACATGATCCCTAAATTTATTGAGCCGTCCATGTATTCAATATACATATTATTTTGAGATTTGTTATGTCTGAGTTGTTTTGCTTAGACTACAATCTGTTGTGAAATGATATTCAATTTAAAGACGAAAACGATTGAGTTAAAAAATGAATTGGAAGAAATCAAAGGTTATAAGAC